CAGAGCTGGACCCCAAGGTTGAAGGGCTTTCACCCAGCCCCTAGAGCCTGGCACTTTGAACTTGGACTTAAAGCCTCCAAATTGTAAGAATAAACTCCTATTTGTTAAGGCCGTCCCATTTGTGGTATATTTCCTGTCAGAGCAGCACTAGGTAACCAGAACATGATGTAAATTTAAGGAAAAAGTTACAAAACAATATGTACCTATACTGCCATTTTTTGAAAGCATGAGTATATTATGCCTAGAAGACTATGTAACAAAATGCTACCTCAGACAATTGAAATTTTAAGAAATTTATATTTCTTTTATGTGCTCATCTATTATTTCCTATCTTTCTGCAATGACATGCTTTACATTTTTAAGTGAAGAATGTAAACTATCTTTTAAAATTCAGCAGAAAGGTTAGAAATCATATCTTACTTCCTTCTATATATAATACACTATACTGTGCTTTTGGTTATAAAATATCTAGTTTATAAGTCATCATAGAGAAGATGTGATGTATATTAATTTCTAAATAAGAATCCATATTCAAATTACCACACTTACTGTTTCATAGATAAACCACAGCAATGTTTTCATACTAAACTAATTCCTTTAGGCCAATGGGCTCCCTCTTCTTAACAAATGTTAATACCAGTTCAGTGAAAAAAAATCATTTTCATACTAGAAAATATGTTGAGAAGGGTCAAAATATGTAAGTTGGGCACAATCTGAAGCCATACATAATTTTTTAAATCCAGAAATGCCTTTTGAAAATTTGAGCTGTACTATTCAGCTTAATACCACAGTTTAAAATACAATCATGGGTTAAGTGTAAGCTACCATGAAATAATCAAGTGTCATTAAGATACACATTTCACTGATGTATTACAAGTTTGCACTTAACAATTTACTTACCTAAAATTCCAATTTCCAAGCCTTTAAGGTTTTCTTCAATATACTCATAGATGTCATCTTTGGTAAAATCTGCTTGTATAATCTTCACGCTACGCCCTGTAGTCTGCTCTGCATTCAAGACAGCAGTTATTTTTTAATGTCCAGAGGCCCAATTCCCTTCTTGCCTGTGGAAGTCCTCTGATGCTGTTGCAATACCTGAGCAGACGCCTAAGAGGACCAACTTGTGATCCCAATTAGAAATAAGAACTAAGCCTGTGTAAATGATGGGTGGTGCCAAGAAATTTGTGAATAATGCTTTCTAAGTGTTTCAAAGAGTAACCATAGTGACAAGTCTATGCTTTCAAAGACGTTCGTGCAAAGTGGGAATCTGCAGAACAGCAGGATCAGCAGCTCTGGGAAACTCATTTGAAACGCATATGCTCAGGCCCTGCCTCTAACCTACTGAATCCAAAACCCAAAGGTGTGCATCTGTGATCAGTTGTAACACACCTTCCAGGTGATGTCTGTACATGGTCAAGTTTGAGATTCCTGGATTAACAGATGTAAAAGTGAAGTGTGATGCTGCCTCTGCTTCCAAGTGTCAGACGCTCTGCATCAGACAAAGCAACCCTTTGTCTTTGTGCAATACTTCAGAGTTCATAAAGCATTTTCATGTACAAGACCTTATTTTAATCTCCCATATGTCCTTCTAAAGTAGGTAATATATGCCCCATATTACAGAAGGGAAAATTAAAGTTCAGAGAAGCTGACAAATTTGCCCAAGCACATCCACATACAGAACTTAGACCATGTCTGCTTGCTCCAAGTTCAACTATTCTATGTTAACTTGTCTTGTGCAGCTGTTTTCAGATAAATAAATAGAAAAGCTATAGGGAGATTTCACCAACTGCTGCCAGCTTAGCTGTGGGAGTTAGATCCGATATTTCTGGGTCAACTTATCTCAAAACATAATTTGAGGGGTGAGGGTACTTTCAGTCCAAAGACACTACTTGCTTGTTACAAGGATGATAAAAAGTGTATTCTAGCCTTGGAAGGAAAATGCTGAAGAATGTTCTAGTGCTGCCCAAAGTTACTTCTTATATCCAGACATAGAACAAAGGCTGAGCTCATCAGTTCAAGGGCACTGAGCCTCCACAGTTTGATTAAATAGCCCTGCACCTCCCACATCCATTTCCTGTTCCAAATCTCTTCCAGGAAAACAAATCCCCACTCCCATAACTGAAGATTTATTCCCTTAAGTTAAGGAGTTGATGTGTATTAAAATTCAATATAAAATATCAAATACCTGTATAGAAACAGTATGATCATTATTAACTAGGAGCACCACAGGGTGCTTTCACAATAATAAAGCATCACAATCTAAATGAGAATGTAGATGACACAGTAATGGGAAACTTTTCATTCCGTTATACATAAGATTGCTAGGAGTTGGAGCCAACTCAACAGCAACTAACAATGACAATATGATATAAATGATGTCCCCTAAGGTTGTACAACTTCACAACCATACTGACTGCCCTGTATCAAATCTTTTTCTTCTTATTTTTTTTAATCTGACAGCCACTAATGAGCATCATCCCTCATCATATTATAAGATCTCAAACACAGACCTTATTTTGAAGGGAGTGGCAGGAGCAACCAGGCAGCTGAGACCTCTGATGGGGGCTGATGCTGGAGACAAAGGCACCAGAGCAAAGAAGAAAGGCCCTGCTTCACCTAACCTGAAGAATCACTGGTGAACTAAAGCCAACGCTTGAAGTCCTACACTTAACCTTTGTAAACATGACTGCCCTCAGGAGGTTTCGCACCCTGGTCTCCAGAGAGCAGAGATAAGAATGCTGACCTGTACATGAATAGACAGAGGACAGGAGCAGAGCAGACTTGGTTGATGGGCTCCACAAACATTGCCCTTAGCTCTTGGTATCACTTACCAATCTCCATGGCAACGGTCTGTAGTTTTTCCAGTGTCCGACTGATAAGCACAATGTCAAGTCCATGTTTGGCTAGCTGGGGATGAAGGTGGCAGAACAAACAAAAGACCAAGATGGTAAGCAGAGAGAGAAGACTTGTTCTAAAGGTGAATTTGGGGATGTGGAGGTACTGGAACCCTTATCCACTGCTGGTGGGAAAGCAAAATGGTACAGTCACTGTGAAAAAGTTTAGCAGTTTCTCCAAAAGTTAAACATAGAATTACCTTATACCCCAGAAATTCAACTCCCAGGTCTATATTAAAAAGATTTGAAAGCAGGGTTTCAAACAGATACTTGTACACCAATGTTCATAATAGCCAAAAGTGGAAACACCCGAGTGTATACATACAGTGGGATGTTATTCAATCATGAAGATAAATGAAGTTCTGATGCATGTTACCAAATGATTAAACCTTGAAAACATTACACTTAGTAAAATAAGTCAGACATCAAAGGGCAAATATGGTATGATCCCATTTATATGAAATATCCAGAATAGGATAGGGGCCAAAGTTTATTAGTGGTTACCAGAGGCAGATGGGAGGACAAAATGTGGAAAGCAGTGGAGGAGAGTGCTTAAGGGGTACAGAATTTTTGTTAGACTGGTCCTGAGCCCCAAGACCAGTGACTCATTCCCTCTAGATGTTTGGTTATGGCTAAGAAGTTTTCATAGCTTTCTCCCCTGTATGTTCTACTGTATTCATAGACTATATGCAGCAGATATAAATACATATGTAGAAATATTCTCTGTCAAACCTATATACATTTGTGGCTGTAGTTCCATTCACCTTCCCACCATTTGTTCACCTTGAGTGTCTATCTATATATATCCACTTGTAGATTATTGTTATTCTTGTTACAGGAGGTTTGTGTACGTAATAGTATTTAACTTGTTGTCTTTAATGCTTTCTCCTCCCAGTGATTTCTTTTGCATTGATCATTTTGTGTTGACCTCCCCCTTATTGTATATTGCCTTTCCATTCACATAAGTTAATACAGGGAGCTGTGGCGGTATAGTGCCTAAGGCATTTGATAGCTAACCAAAAGGCTGATGGTTCAAACCCACTAGACACTCCTCAGAAGGAATTTTGGGCAATCTACTTCCATAGAGATACTGCCTCAGAAACTCAAGGAGGGGTTGCTATATGTCTACCTTCTAGTCAGTGATTTACCCTCTCTTGCCTTCCCACCTCTTGTTGTTGTTGTTATGTGCCATTGAGTCAGCCCCGACTCATAGCGACCCCTCCTTGGGTTTCCGAGGCAGTATCACTACGGAAGTAGGATTGCCCAACCTTCCTTCCAAGGAGTGGCTCCCACCTCTAGTAACCATCAAAGAATTTTCTTTCTTTGTGTGTAAACTTTTCCTTGTCTTTTTACAATAGTGGACTCCTACAATATTTGTCCTCTTGTGATTGACTGATTTCACTTAGCATAATGTCCTCTAAGTTCCATGTTATAAGGTGCTTCACAAATTCATCATTGTTCTTCAACGTTGTATAGTATTCCATTGTGTGTGTGTACCATAGTTGTTTATTCATTCACCTGCTGATGTGTGCTTAGGTTTTTTTCACTTCATTGCTATTGTGAATAATGCTGCAACGAACATGGGTGTGCATATATCTGTTTGTGTCACATCTCTTATTTCTCTAGGATATATACCTACTAGTGCAATTGCTAGGTATTTGTTGTTGTTGTTGTTGTTGGGTGCTGTCATCTCCAACTCATAGTGATCCTATGCACAGCAGAAACACTGCCCAATCTTGTGCCAGCATCACAATCCTTACTATACCTGAGTCCATCATTGCAGCCACTGTGTCTATCCATCATGTAGAGGGCTTTCCCCTTCTTCACTTACCATCCACTTTAGCAAGCATGATATCCTTCTCCAGGGAATTGTTCCCTCTGACAACATGACCAAAGTAGATGAGATGAAGTCTGCCCTTTCTCGCATCCAAGGAGCATTCAGCTGCACTTTGTCCAGGACAGATCTGTTAGTTCTTTTATCAGACCATGGTACTCTCAGCATTCTTCTCCAACACCACAACTCAAAAGCATCAACTCTTCTTCGGTCTTACTTATTCATTGTCCAGCTTTCACATACATAAGAAGCAATTGAAAATACCTCGGCTTGGGTTAGGCACACCTTAGTATTCAAGGAGACATCTTTGCTCTTCATCACTTAGAAGAGGTCTTTTGCAGCAGATTTGCCCAATCCAATACATCTTTTGATGTCTTGACTGATGCTTCCATTGGTGTTGATCATAGAACCAAGTAATATGAAGTCTTTAACAACTTCAATCTTTTCTCCATTTATCGTGATGCTGCTAATTGGTCCATTTGTGAGGATTTTTGTTTTCTTTATATTGAGGAGTAATCCAGACTGCAGACTGTAGTCTTTAATCTTCATCAGTAAGTGCTTCAAGTCATCCTCACTTTCAGCAAGCAAAGTCGTGTCATCTATGTATCACAGGTTGTTAATGAGTCTTCCTCCAATCCCAATGCCACGTTCTTCTTCATATAATCCAGCTTCTTGGATTATTTGCTCAGGATATAAATTGAATAAGCATGGTGAAAGGATACAACTCTTACACACTCTCTTCTTGATTTTGAACCACGCAGTATTCCCTTGTTCTGTTCAAACAACAGCATCCTGATCTATATACAGTTTCCTCATGAATACAACCAAGTGTTCTGGAATCCCTATTCTTCTCAATGTTATCCATAATTTGTTATGATCCACACAATCAAATCCTTTTGCATAGTCAATAAAACATAAGTAAACATCTTTCTGGTATTCTTTACTTTCAGCTAAGACCCATCTGACATCAGCAATAATATCCCTTGTTCCACGTCCTCTTCTGAATACAGCTTGCATTTCTGGAAGCTCTCTGTCAATATACTGCTGCAACTGTTTTTGAATTTTCTTCAGTAAGATTTTACTTGCATGTGATATTAATGATATTGTCTGATAATTTCCACATTTTGTGAGATCACCTTTCTTTGGAATGGGTACAAATATGGATCTCTTCCAGTCAGTTGGCCAAGTTGCTGTCTTCCAAATCTCTTGTCATAGCCGAGTGAGTGCCTCCAGCACCAGAATGTTCCTTGGAAGTAAGAATGGACAGACTTCCTTTCATCTACTTTGGTCATGTTGTCAGAAGGGACCATGCCTTGGAGAAGGATATCATGCTTGGTAAAGTGGAGGGTCAGCAAAGAAGGGGAAGGCCCTCAACAAGATGGATTGACACAGTGGCTGCAACGATGGGCTCAGGTGTAGCAAGAATTGTGAGGCTGGCACGGGACCAGGCAGTGTTTCATTCTATTGTACATAAAGTCACTAAGTCAGAGCCAACTCAATGGCACTTAACAGCAACAA